TTCATATGCATCTTTTGTATTTATTATATCTATTATAGTTTTCGATAAAATCAATGAAATGTAAAAACACTGCTTTTCGAGCATTTTTTAAACTTTGAACACGAATTACAGCCAAACGGCTAAAACCACTGTAATATTTCAATACTCGTTACATTTCCCAAACATTCAGTTTTCATATGCGTCTTTTGGTTTCAATTTATGTATTATAGTTTACGAGAAAATCAATGAAATGTAAAAACACTGCTTTTTCGAGCATTTTTGTAACTTTGAACACGAATTACATCCAAACGGCTAAAACCACTATAATATTTCAATGCTCGTTACATTCCACAAACATTCAGCTTTCATATGCATCTTTTGTATTCATTCTATGTATTATAGTTTAAGAGAAAATCAATAAAATGTGAAAACACTGCTTTTTCGAACGTTTTAATTTGAATTTTTCAAATTTGAACGCGTATGGATTAGAGCACAGGAATGTATCAATACTTTAGCAGATATTTGGAAAATTGCTCACTGCTACTAATATTGCCCAGAGAGGAGCGCCTCACAGTTTGGAAAACGCTGATATACTGGAAATTGCATCTAATTGATTGATTGTTTAGTTTGGGCAGAGATGCGATTTTACACTCATAAATTATGTAATAGATTTTACAACGTACAAACACATTCAGGTATTAATAAGTATTGGGATGTGTTTGAAGGATTTTATGAATAACGGGATTTAAAAATCGTCTTCGTAATAAAAATAATTTATTAAACACACACACACTCTGTTTTTGCCATGCGGCGCAATGTTGCTAACTATTAATTCACAAACGTGATAACAGATGGTACTACTCTCTCTTTAGGTTGCATATATGAATTATTGATATACAGTGGAACCTCGCATAACGACTCGCTTAACGAGCGATGTTTTAACGAGTGACGAAGATAAGAGACATATTTTTGAATATGTTTCAGTATACGAGTAAAAATCTGGAAATTTTGGAACGGATTAAACTCGTTAAGCGAGGTTTCACTGCAGTTGTATAAAGAAAAAAGAAGTTGCGCATACAATTAAAATAATCGATTTTGTTCTAATATCACCGAATTCGGTCATCGATATGGAACGGATCTGAATGTAGGGAAGAGATGTGCAACTTATTCAAGGGGTTTTCGGGATGTCTGGAGGAACGTTGAGTAGGTCGGAGGGTTCCGGCAGACCGTCATCGTTGTTCACATTGTTCTGTCTGCGAATCGCTGTACGCACTTTGGCGGAAGCCACCCTCTGCTTCAAAATCTGCAATTGCATTCGATTGAGTAATTATAGTTTCTTTTTTAGCGTGATATGTGTGCACCTGTTGTCTTCGGATTTCAGCCTCGTCGAGTTTCTCCTGCAGCTTGGCCAGCGAGAGATTCGGCGTCTCCTCCTGCTGCTGCTCCTCGAGACGTTGGAACCTCTTCGGCGGATGCTTCTTGATTATACTCTCGTCAGCTTCCTCACCAAAAGCTATATCGAACGACAGTCCGTTCGCTGAAATTGTCCAAAGGTAAATGATTTCGATTCGCGAAAGTCTTGATACGTACATTTCTCGTGCATATTGTTCACCGTTCCGTTCTCGAGCATCTCCGTTTGGGGTTCGACTCCCTCCAGAGCGGGCACCTCGGACGCGCGCCTCGTCACCGATACCTTCCGCACTTCGCCGAGCTGCGATTCACCGTTGCCCATAGAAGCGCCCCCGTTCAGCGGCTCCACGGCCAGGTTCTTGGCGGCGCTGCAACCCATCGCCTACTGGACTCTGCTGCAAACAAAAGCGAGCGACGACGGTCGAGTCGATATTATTGAAATGTATGCAAATCGCGACAGAAGAATGCCAATCTTATCGCCAAAATCACACGCCGTTTTCCCAAAGAACAAAAACACAAATGTAAAAGGAGAATTTATAAAGAAGGTGAATGCGCCGGGTCCCGACCCTATCCAATAACTCAGTGGTTGCCAAACTTGATGTTACTACGCCTCC